CTCTCCTCTCTCCTCCCTCCTCTCCTCTCTCCTCTCCTCTCTCCTCTTTCCTCGTCTCTCTCTCTTCCCTGCTCTTTTCTCTCTCTTCTCTTCTCTCCTCTCTCCTCTCCTCGACAGTTCTACGTTTCGCGACCACGACCCCCCTGATCCCTGTGACTGTTGACACTTTTGAGACGCGAAGAGACGAGGCGAGTCCAAAAGTGACGACAGTTCTGGGTTTCGCGAGCACGACCCCCCCGATCCCTGTGACTGTTGACACTTTTGAGACGCGAAGACCCGAGGCGAGTCCAAAAGTGACGACAGTTCGCGACCACGACCCCCCCGGTCCCTGTGACTGTTGATACTTTTGAGATGCGAAGACCCGAAGCGAGTCCAAAAGTGACGACAGTTCTGCGTTTCGCGACCACGACCCCCCCGGTCCCTGTGACTGTTGACACTTTTGTAATACGAAACGTAAAAAGTGACGACAGTTCTGCGTTTCGCGGCGATTTTCGTCTCTCCGGCATGTCCGACCCTCCGCGAATGCTTGCGAACGCTTGCGGACGCTTGCGGACGCTTGCGGACGCTTGCGTCTACAAACGCAACGACCTCGCGTCGCGTCCTGGACCCCTGGACCCCAACTTTAAAACGGGAACCCTTCTGTGGAGGAAAATGGGATGATCTCTCTGTATGCAAATGGCACGGGTCGCTACATGTTTCAACATGAATCGCATAAAAGTTTCCGCTTTGGTCAGTGTAAACTAGGCAAGCGCTCGGTCTCAGTTTTGCATGATCTGAATTGAGTGTCGAAAGGAGCTCTGATTGTGATGCTTGCTTTCATGGTCATTACATGCACCTTGACCCGAACACAGGCATCAGTTAATTAGTAAGAAGCGTGAGCATAGTAACCCTTCAAGCAGCAGTATTCACTGCATTCCCATCGTCGTTGTCGAAGTAGTAGTGAAAGTAGAAGTAGAAGTTGAAGTAGATGTAGAATTGCGCCTGGCGCCCCAAAAGAATCTGGCCCCGAAAAAAAGTCTAACACTAGCGAAGCCCTTTGGAAGTTCTTTCAGCTTTCTTAAAAGCAAATGAAATCTAATTAAGAGCTACTAGTGATTAAATGAATGGAAATCTAGTTCAAATTTATTTAAACCGTTTTACACAAATTTAATTCGAATCTTATGAAACCAACTGAAACTTAATTAAACGCCGATGTAAAATCTACCTCAACTCGAATGAAATTACATGGGACTCGAACTAAACCGAATCAACGACAAACTAAAACTATTGAAATCCACTTGACACCGACACCTAATTAAGTTTCTTTACATCACTTGAAATGTAATTAGAAGCAAATGGAAATCTCATGAACACAGATTAGAATCAACGAAGAGTCACTTATAATCAAACTAGCGTCTAAATTAAACCCATTAAGATGCAGTTGCATTCTATTTAAATCAATGAAAATTAAATTAACGACAACCAAACTCGAATTATTGTCCTTGAAAACGAACATCCAGAAAAAACAAACACCCAGGGTTCCGAATTTCCTTATCATGACGGGGAAGCATCGCTGGACCAAGCCCCTAAACCGGTACACCGCAAAACCCTTGTAAACCCAAACTCTTACAGCCTAAAACCCTCCCAGTTAAACTGCTTAACCTAAGGCATCGGCCTTCGTAGCTGTGGCTTCTTACTGCAGCGATTGCCACAGGCACATTGCTGCTAGGGTTCCCGAATGAGAAGTTCACAAAATCATCTTCTTCAACGTTCTGAGGACATAAACTCTAGTATGCACTTGACGGGTTCTTGACGGGGCTTAGAAAAGACGGAACCAAGTCCTGTTGGCTCAAATTTGTGCTACGACTGGTTGGGATAGGTGGGTAAGGTGTGCTACAACAAGGTCTAGAAAAGGATCTGTGCTGTGGGGCTTGGCATCGCTTCGATTTGCGGGTGAGAGGTCCTGCCCAGGCAACTGACAATATTCTGTGCAACATTCACTTGCGTTGAAAGTAGAATTCCAAAGCCAGCCGAAAGCATCGACTCATCTTGGTGATGTCCTCACCCAAAGCTGTAGCAGCAAACAAGACGGTTCATGACATGTCATGACGCTCATGTAGATCGCAAGAGTCGCGACAATCAGCGGAATCATGAAGAACTCTGAGAAGATTGCCCTGCAAGGGTGTTGCGCCTGGACTTTGTCCACCTCAGAACATGTAGGGCAGCTGATCTAATGAATGTCCGTGTTCAGGAGATTGTATGGAGTACCGTGGTGATTGAGGAAGTGTCCTTTTTTGTTTATGCTGTTGCTGTTGCGTAGTTGTCATGATTGTGGTTCTGCTTGTCGTTGCCTTTGTTGTTCTTGCTGTCGCTATTGCTGTTGCAGCGGCGGTGGAGATTCTGGTTGTGGCTCTTCGTCGTTGTGGCTGCGGCAGCAGCGGCAGTGCTTCTTCTAGTTGTGGTTGTGCTTTGCTGGTGGTGTTGATCGTTGTGAAGTACTGCTCTTCATGATATTGGTGATGGACTTGATGCTAATGTGGTTGATCTTGTGTTCGCTGCTACGGGTGTCCTGGCTTTTGCTGACGTCTTTGGTGTCATCCTCTCTGTCATCTCTGTCCTTGATGCCGTTGCCCTGTTTCTGTTGACCCCTGAATCCGAGGCCCCAAAACCTCCAGCCCCAAACACGACGAAACCGTTGGCTGACTTTGGCTACTGCTGCAACTTTGAGCTGTGAATCTCAAAGCTTGGATCTTCTCTTGTTCTATGCCTACAATCAAAAGCGGGGATGCCTCCGATGACATGCAAAGCAAGTCTCACTTCTTCTGACCTTGAAACATGGGCTGGCTCATCTTGCAAGGTCCTTGAAACAATCCGTTGCATCTCAATCCACCTCAATGACCTCCGCTTCAAGAATCGTGTGCCCTCCACCTACACTCCTCCCGAAACCAAAAGTGCCCTGAGCCAAACCGGCATTTGCAAGGGGCGAATGCACCGAGCCTGAGATGTTCAACAACCTGTGTGACTCGCAGCGACGACACCTAGATCAGGTGGGAACAGAACGGGTCAGGGACTTTACCTCTGCTCCTTCCCGCTATACTACTGCGACTACTGCGACCAATGCGATTATGTAGAGTTTGCTGCGATTATACTACGACTATCATGCGGCTACTGCAACTATACTGGACTATGCTGCGATTAGACTGCGATATTGCGACTGTACTTGCTGCGACACTACTACGGCACTACTGCGACTCTACTGCGACACTACTGCGACACTACTGCGACACTGCTGCGACACTGCTGCGACACTGCTGCGACACTACCTCGACGATTGGGACTACTGCAACTACTGTGATGACTCCGACTACTGTGAGTACTGCGACTACTGCGACTACCTTGGCTATGAACCAGCAGCACGGTCACACAGCACCACCACGGCCTCAGCAGCACGAGCAGCAACCTGACCAGCATCAGCAGCAGCAGATGATTGCCTTGATTCGCATTGCTTTTTTACGATGGCTAAGTTCTGATGATTCCCTTGACGT